CTCAGCCTTATATCCCCTACAGTTAGATTAATCAAACACTACCCAAGCACCCTCAAACAACACCAGTCGCCATCCACACTTCCTCCAACCACCTCCTCCCACCAAGGTTGTAGGAAAAACGAGAAAGAAGGAAACCCGAAAACCCACTGCCACCATCCTCCATAACTGCTATTGTCGAAATCCTTTCCCTTTCATCTCCAACTCGTCACTTCCATCGAGCAGAAGCAGGAACGAAGCACCAAGAGACCGCCAGAGCAGCCTCCTGCCGCACGTCGCCACCAGCTACCGCTGCAAATTTCTGAATCAAAATCCAAATCCGGATAAATCAGATCTAGTTGAGAGGATACGAAGTCGATTTCAAGGATCTGCGATTGACATTCCCCTCCTAATTTGAGTGGTCGATGACAGCGGCTTTAGGGTTCTTCAGTTGACGCTAACAAACCCTCATTCAATCTTCCTTCTTCAAAAAACAATCGTTTAATCTCTCTTAAAAAATTTCAAACAATCTCTTCACAATGTCCCCTTAATCCTAACCCAAGAGAGAGAGAGAGAGAGAGAGAGAGATGGGTGGGGGTGGGGGTGGGTGTAGTAATTTCTTTTTCTTTTTCTTTTAGTTAAAATAATAATAAGTTAGATAAAATAAGTTAAAATGAAATATTTAAGGGCATATCGGTCATTTCAGGTGAGGTATGGACCAAAACCACATCAAAATACCAATCATAGGGACCAAAAGCACACAAAATATCTGAAATTGGACCACTGATAGACCAACGTTTCGTTTTGGACCAAAAGCACATAAACTTGCCAACCACAGGGACCATTTTTGTAATTTTGTCTCAATAAAAACTTCATAACATTAATCGGTAATTCAATTCCATTATCTATATATTTTAAACTTATGTTGATATCTAGAAACGGAATTAAGGTGAAAATATTTTCCGGTCCGGTCCGGGTTAAATCCCGTATTCCGGGTACGGTCCGATCCAAACCCGAAACCCAGTTAGTGGTAAAACAAAACCCGAAAACCGGTCCACTAATATGTATATCCGGTCCAGTCCGGGTTCGGTCCCGGTTTTTTTTCCGGTCCGGTCCGGTCCAATGGATCATATGCTCATCCCTATATACAAGTAAGACTCTTCCATTTTAGTTGTATTTGTAACCGTTTAAGTTTGTGATTATAAATCTAAGTGTTATAATAGGGGTTTAGATGAGCCGAACAAAGTTCGAGTTTGGGATGTCTTAGGCTCAATTAGTTTAAATTTATAGGGATCTCATGCTTGGTTCGTCTCGAGCAAATATTTAATGCTCAAGTTCAGCTTGTGCAAGATTTAATATATTCAAGGTCGACTCGTTTGTTAGCCGAGCATAAATGAATTTAAATTCAACTCGGTTAATAGCAAATAGCAAACTTGTTTTTATTTTTTAAAATCGTTTATTATTATTATGTATTTAATATTTAATACTTAATTATTTAATAGCAATTTAATATGCAAATTAAAACTAAAATTTCTCTATATTAATAAAATAATAATTTTATATGTACACGTGTCATTATCCTAAAGCTCCGTATTTAATTATTGTCACATGTCATTATACCATAGCTTATTTAAGAGTTTGTCACGTGTCAATATATTTAATATAATTATTTAATATGAAATCTTTTAATTTAATAATACACTGAATTATCATTATATCTTTTGTTCATACTCTATTTTACTATATATCTTACGATTTATACAATCTCTGCATATTAGGCATATAATTAGTTCACATTATGAGCTTTTACCATAAAAATTAATTATTTTTGTAACCATGGTTCCAACGGACTATAACCTAGTTTAAATTATATAAAGATATAAATGTTTGTTTAGGCTCGCAAGCCTAACGAGCTCGACATATAAAACTCGTGCTCGAGCTCATTTAATAAATAAACCTGAAACAAATCTCGAGCTCAACTCAAGCTTTTTATAAATTCATCCTGAATAACTTAGGAGTAGCTCAGCTCGTTTAAACCAACCTGAAACTAAACTCGAGTTCAACTCGGAGCTTTTTACGATCAATTATGAACAGCTCACGAGTAGCTTAACTTATTTATACCCTATGTATTATTTGAGCTCTTTCACTCATGTATTCATTTGTAACCATTTTTATATTTCAGACTTTATACCCTAGTATTTTTTGAGTTCTTTCACTCATGTATTCATTTGTAACCATTTTTAAGTTTCAGATTATAAATCTGGAAGGTGGTATTTGAGTTTTTTTATACATAAAAATAAGACTTCCATTTCATTGTAACAACTTTTAAGTATAAGATTATAGAGAAGATAAAAAGCTTCCAAACATTTATTACTATTACTATTAAAGAGTAAAGCATGTGACAATATACTCTAAAATTTTCGAATGGTTAAGACCTTCTCTTAATTAAAACCTGATCAGTCAATCATTCGACCAATGAACTACTTGCTTTATTTTGAATAAAAAAACTCTTCATGTTATGTCTGGTAAACCATTAAATCAACATATAATAACGAAATTCAATTATTTATTAAATAATTAAAATTCTTATAATAAATATTAAAATCAAAAGAAAGTACAAACATTACTAATTTTTTTGTTGTAGGAATAAATAAAACAGAAGTACAAAGACAACCAAGAGATGATTGATGATAATCTTGAAGGAAAAGAAAGCAAAATCGAACAAGCAACAATCCATCCAATTATATTCCACAATTAATCATCAAATTCGAAACCCCAATAACCCAATTCATTCCTTTATACTTTTTTTTTCTTTTGATTGATCATCGTCTTCACAACCCAATAAAATCTGAAAAATAACAAAATAAAAACCCTAATTTTCCCCATAACATACACCTTCCAACACACCAACCCCTAAATATACCATGAACCGGAGACGAACCGGTTTGGTTTTGTTGAAGCCCCATCAGATCCGGTCCACCTTGTCGGCTCTGATAACCGGGTTCGCCTTGGCTATGGCGTCTTTACCGGTTTTCTTGAAATCGAATTCACAATCGTGTTTCTCCGGGTACCTATGGCTTCCACAGAACGTATCTCCACACTTGCAGATGAATCCCATCACGCCGACCTTTTTGTTGCAGGTTAAACACCGGTTCCGGACCTTTTCCTTTACTTCCACCGCCGCCGCAGTCGCAGGCGGCGGAAGAGGTTCAGATCCGGATGAGGAAGAGGAAGAAGAGGGAGTTTGATGAGGGAAAGATACGACCTTGTTGACAAGCTTATCGACGGCGGCTTTGGCTGATGCGGCTTGTTCTTCCTTGATCCGGTTGTCACGGAAGCACTTTGAGCAGAGGTTCATGGTGGCGGCGGAGCCGAAGAAGCCGCAGCCGTTGGCGCACGGCGCCGGTTCGGAGGGTTTGAAGCTTGTTCCGTCGTTCATCTTGTTGGCGTCTGAACCCATCTTCTGATTTCAATTTAGAAATCAAAATTCGAAAAATAGTCTGCAGAAATTGGAGAAGAAGAGGTGAAAAGATTGCAGGCGTAAAAAGCGAGGGTGGATTTATATAAAGTGGGGAAGAGGAGAGATAGTGATTTTCTTTTTTCTTTGAGCAGAAGTAAGGGTAACGAAGAAAGGATTGTTATGAAAAGACTAAAATACCCTTAGGATTGATTGTTAGATGCGTTGGATTAATACTTGGTGAGAGGGTTGTTTTGTCTATCCGATCATGGGAAACCGACTACCTTTAACACCTTCTTCGTCTTGTCTTGTAGCATTGGGAAAAGTAAAAGACAAATATACCCTTATACCTTTTAGTTAAGAAAAATGTAAAGCTAAATATTGAATCATGATAGTCAATTTTTATTATATTTAACAAATATGATTTTTATTTGAACTTTTATGAAAAAAAAAAAACAATTCGATTTTGGGTAAGGAATCATTGCAAAATACTTGTCTTTATAACAAATGTCAAGTTGCATATCTAACTAAAGTTTTTAGTTGATAAAAAAAACTAAAGTTGATAAAATATTTTATGCTTGTTTGATTTTAATCGGTTGATGTCACCATAACTATTTTGAAAATATTATTTAAATAACTACTCAAAGCGAAGATTTAGTGTATTGTTCATAACCATGGCCACAAGAATGTTTCTAAGTGTAGGATTAGATCGGTTCTCAGACCGAACCGACCAAGAACAAAAAAAACCGATACCGAAGATGGATATTCAGGGATTTGAGAACCGAACTGATTTATATATTCAGTTCCTTTATGGTTTCGGTTCTCATTCGATTTGGTTCTATGTTTAATTTCCTTTGTATTGGGATGAGGTGGAACTGGACCGAACTGATCCAACATTGGAAAACCGAAACCAAAAAAATGAAAATTCAAGAAACCAAGAACCGAATTGGATACCCTTATTCGGTTTTATAATTGGTTTCTTAGTCAATTCACACATCCGTATTTATAAGGCTTTATCGCCACACTACATGAGTAGAAAGTTCAATACAACACAATGATTATTTCAACGTAACATTATGTTAGGACATTGATGTTATGCCCTCAAACTTAAAGCTTAGCATACTATTAAAACATATTATCACAGTAATACACTCGACATGTATAATCTCAAAAACTTACACATAGATTATGGTTTGTGAATATTAAAACACACATTTATTGATATGCTCTTAAAAGTTTAAATGAGGATCTCCAAATATTTCATTTATGTAACACCAATTTCCAGGTATAGACTTTTTTGTTGTTATGGCTTTCAAGCTCAAAGGTTGAATTATGTTGGCCAAGACATGGTGATGCTTGTACCACGACGTGGCGGTACCCGATCAAAACGTGTAGCTTAAGTATACGCCAAGACATGACATTGTAATGGCCACGATGTGTAACATCCGGATTTCCAGGTATGTTATTTTGATTATTTATTTTTAAGGATCATTGATCCACTCGACGAGTTGGTGTTATAACTCGTCGAGTAGAAGCGGGGTGGCCACGTGAGTTTAATGAACTACTC